TTTGTTTGAAAGCAAACACACCAGACTAGCTAAGAATTTGGACCCAATTTGCCAATTTTAAAAACTTTCTACACCAATATCTATTGCACCACCTGCTCATCCACCCTTGTATTTATTAACTTTGAATTATCCTGGCACAATAACACAAGTGCAGATCATCCAGCCAAGATCAAACTATTTTAATTGCCTGAGACAAACTACAATTTTTTTGATATTTAATTTAGATAATAAAGGACAATACCAGACTTAATGGGCTTCATGAAGATCAAGAATTGATTTCAAACCACTACTCAATGATGAAAAACATTTACTAATCTTAATATAGTATTTTTATTACAAAGCAAAAGATATAAAGCACTCAATAAGAAACAAATCAATACAGTATTAATTGTCTGTAAGATTAAATTCCTAATCACTACACAATTTTTGGCAGTTATATAAGCAAAATTACACATTACAAATGAATACAAGTTATAAGTAAAAGTTATTAACTAAAATCCCAAATCAACTATTATTATGTCCTTTTCATTCCTATTTTTCTCTAATTTAGACTCTATGACCAAGAAACTTTGTAGTATAATAATGTGTGGCCTTCCCTTTGTTAGTTTGCATCCCATTACGTCCTGACAATACCTCATAAATAATGGGCTATTCCACATTTTGGTCACATGGAAAGAGGAAAATACATTAATTGGTTTCTGTGAGAAAGGAAGGGAAGATAGAAATGGAAAGAGAGAATCAGATTAAGCTGATAAGAACATACATACTTTTGATTCCAGCTGAAAGGCTGAGTAGTGATGGCAACCATGATAAAACATCATTCTTCAAAGTATCGCAAAGTATCAAGTCAAAAATCCAGTTACAATAAATTAAATAAGTAACACCATCTGCTGAATTATTTTAAAATTAGTATTAAGAGAAATGTCTGTAAGACAGAGATTTGGCTAGAATGAAATAATGAAAGATAAAAAGAGTTTAATGTCTCCTCCCAATACCTCATAAATAATACACTATTCTGTTTTGATTGCATGAAAAGAGGGGAAAAGATACAACTTGATTTCAGTGAGAAAATGAAAGGAAGACAGAAAGAAAGAAAGAAAGGAAAAGGGAAGATGTTTAATGGCCACTTCAGTGAAATGGAAAAAGTTGTCAATTTCAATTCTTTTCATTTGTATCCACTTCTTAAAATAATGACCAGCATTCATATTATTTTGTTAAAATTGTTAAGCTGTAATATCTAATGATGTAATGAAGTTCTATAGATATTTTATTGTCATAGAACTCACCATGAGCTTATTCAATCATTAAATTAAGAGTTAAGAATTAAGATTCATCAGAAAATTTAAATAGGAGAACCATGAAATTGTCATGGGTCTTTCTAGGATATATTAATATTAATCAGGAATAAATTGTAATAGGAAATTAGCTTTAACTCTATCACAACTACAATTGAAAAGAATTTATCTAAACTCAACATAAAATTTGTCACAACTATGTCTAAAACAATAAGACTTAATCAATACAAAAAAAACTAAAATTTATAGGAGGAATTGACACTATTACCTGTAATGATTATCACAAAGAATACACTGGAGAAATCTCAAGAAATTTAAATAAAAGATTATATGAACACAAAAGAGATATTTTGCAAAATAACACATTAAACAATGCATCAGTTGCACACCGTAATGAGACTGACCACAATTTTGATATAAAAAATGCAACTCTAATTAAAAGAAAAAACAATTCACTAAGACAAAAAGTGTTTTAATCACATAAATTTCATCCAGGTTCTTACAACATTTCACTATTCTTGGAAGATCTATTATCACAATGTGGGATACTTAATAACTCAAGTGATGGAAACAAAAGAAAAAGAATCTAAATGAAATCAGCTAGATTATATACCCAAAACACATAAAAAAAAATTATCTTTAAATTTAAAATTCCCAGTGTCTTGTTTGTAGGCATTTGTAGTCACATAAATGTAAAGAAACTTAGTCTGATGAAATCCTAAAGGATGAAACCTGTCACACGAAAACATTTTCTCTTTGTCATACATACATATATATGTGTATATAAAAATGAAGAGCAACAAATGGTTAATACAAAGTTTCTCATATGAACCATCTTATTCTACTTGCATGTTAGGCAGTGTAATTTATTTTGGTAATTACATGTGGTTTTATTGTACTATAAGTTCAACAAGTCAACATCTATATTTTTTTATCCTTTTGTGAGACAAAGAGTATCATATTAGCTATTGCAATTGTATGAATTTCATACATAAGGTTTCATTCATAAAAGTAGTGATGCAATACAAACATGAATAAATATGTAAGTGACTGTGTAAATGACAGCCAAGCTGTACAGAGTTAAAAAAAATTCTCTGAACTTCTTTGAACTGAAATCAGTGGAAGACCAACAATTTTCAATGATGATCTTTTAAAGGCATCATTTGAAGCAGAACCCCCATCAAAATCCTATAGAAATAGCAACAAAAAAAGAAGAAAAAGTTATCAAGTATACACAAACATCACAAGCAAATGTGAAACTTTCAAAGAACTGAGAGCAACCTTTTGCAACAGGCTGCTGATCAGAAATGAAAAGATACATTTTTCTTCATTGAAAGAGATAATAAACACTGCAAATAAATGCAAATCTCAATACAATGGGAATGTTGAGTCCATGAGAGCCACCTTGTACTTTCAGCTCTCAAGGTCTTGGCAGAGGTGTTGGATCATCCTTCAGCACAGAATTGATCTGTTGGATGTCTTGACAGACAACATCCTTCTAGTGGCTACATAGTCTTCTGTGAGGTAGTCTCCAAATGGCTGGTCAAACTAGGTCATTGTAGGATATCACCAAGCCAATGAACTGAGCAATGGTGTGGAAGATTCTTATCTGACTAGTCCTCTGATGGAACTCCTCATTAGATACAAGATCAGACCAGTGCACTCACTTGATAGTGATGAGGGTAGGAGATGTCACAGCACTGCCATAGTGAACTCTAGAGGCCTCTCATGATTCTTGCAGAAAGCCCAAATCTGTTGTTCTCTGTGAGGAATGAACCAACACTGTCTCCAACGTGCATCAGTTTGGACTTTGACCAGTAGACACACAGCCCAAGCTTTGTCACCCCCTTGTTTGAACATGTGGAGTGCTCTCTCAAGCTGACACCAGATAGTTGGACTAAAATGTGTTTCTGATCTGTCACAATTTTTGATAAAGTAGGAAGTGGGTGAGTAAGAATTTGGAAAATTAACCCCTCTCCCATAAATACCACCTGGGTAGTAATAACAAAAAAGTTGTTACATCTCTTATCAACTTTCACAGGGGTTAGCACAGAAAATTAACTGACATTGAGATTATATATAAATATATATATAGATAAAATATTGCACATTGAGTGCTGATACTAATGAAATAATAATTGATGTATAATAACAGAGCTATGATTTATAATAATAATAAATATACATAAATGTGTGTGTGTGTATATATATATATATATATATATGTGCATATGCACACATATTACATTACACACTCTCTTCATTTTGAAACAAAGCTTTAATTTTTCTCTATAAACAAAACATGAATTGCAACACAATGAATAAAAACAAAGGAGAAGTTGATATAAATCAGTTTTTTTTATTAACATTAGAAACAAAATACTTTCTTCAAAAATACAAAATGACAAACAATTTTTAGCAGAAAACAGAAGTTGGATCAATTTTGTTTTATATAAATGTAGAGTAAAAATAAAATTGTAAGTTGAGCATATTCAATGGTAATTTTGAATTTCAAAGCATTTTGAATTGAATGTGAAAAAAAGGCAGATTTTGTAGAGAAATGTGGTTAGTTTTAAATGAGAAATGTGCATCATTAATTTTACACTGTATTTCTGTGTAAAAATTTTATATATATGTATTATTAGAGAATATGAGAAGGTTTTTAAAAATTAAAATATAATATTCATTACAATTTTATTTACAAAACAATCAAAAAATATATTTTTTTATTGTTGTTTTTAACCATTTTTGGTTATTTGTAACATTGTTACTGAGAAAAGACTATTCTGCTATCAAAAATAAATAACAAGAAAGTATTTTAAAGTGAATTATTATTATGTAACAAGGACACAAAATTAATGTGTTCATTAATCCTAATAGAAGATATACATCCCAAGAAAACATCTATTAATAATACCATTTGTTTAAGTGTGTAAATAATTGCAATTTTTTGTTGTCTTGTGACAAAAACAGGCCTTATTTTTATCTGGCTCAGTGCACCCACTTCTGGAATACTGACCAAAAATACCAGGGTCATCTTTTCTGACTAATCAGGCAAGTTTAACTGAGCATGGCAGACTATACAACTGCCCAAGCCATCAGCAGTGACACCAAGGTGCTTCCATTAACAGCAATGCTTTCAACCAGCAACAAAAGCAGCAGCAGCAGAGACTAACTCTTGACTACTACAGTATGATACTATTATATAAATTATTTGTCATAAATTTTTTGATATATAAAACTATTGACATTTTTGTCCTACATCAAAAAAAATTACTTTGTGTTTAAAAACACATTTGGTCTAAAGAGTATTTCTTATTGATAATTTCCTGAACTCATTGGTGTATTTAAAAAATATACATAAAAAAGTTATTTGTGCAAAAGTCTTGAAAGCATTAAGTCAATTTAACAAAGAGATTTTGTTTATTTGCAAAACTCAAAGAGAATTACAAGTTTGAAAACAGTTGATACTGTATATATTATAATATCGTAATGAGAAATAGTTTTAAAAAGTTCTTAAAATGTAGAACCACAATGCTTGAAATTATTATATTGCAAATCATATCATCAGAGAGAAAGAAGATATAAGATTTATTAGCTCTATATATAATATACACACATGATTATGTATAAATGCTGAAAAACATGCAAAACTTGGTATTTATAGTTATCATTGTTTAGACAACCATTATGTAAACATTTTGTTCATTCCTTGTTCTCTTCCTCCTTTCCTTTGGCTAACAGCCACACCTCATTGTGACGATTCCAGAATTTCCATGGTGCATCATAACCACATGAAAAATAATAACTAAAATCATAGTTGTCTTCACCAACATCTTTCTTTAATGCCTCAATGTGTTCTTGTCGTCTTTCATCATTTGTGTAACCACCATAGCCTCTAAAAAAAAAAAATGTTTACATATTACATAAACTTTCCGTAATTTCAACAGGAGTCATTACATTCCAAGACCTTTTCAAAATGCTTATCTCATTCTTCAGGGAATTTAATGTAGTTTGAATTTCTTTGCTTAGCAAGGAAAGGATTGGAAAACAACCTTACATAAAATATGTAATCACCTGTGTCACATTCATACCTATGAGATTCATTATAATGGGTTAGTTCAATGAATGTATTTGACATTATTTTTCCATTTAAAAGCAGTGGTGGATACTAACTGAGAAAAAAAAAAAGACTTGCCCACCTTCTTCTCTGCCTTACAGACCTGAAGAAAGCTATAGAATGGATCATTAAAAATAATGTGGTGACAACAAAAAGGATACAATAGTCTGAACAACTCTTGGAATTATATTAGGTGTGTGAAATTCTGTCTACTTTTCAAAAAACAATACAGAACTGTTATATACTTTCTATATTTCATAATATATATAATGAAAAATTAGTATAAATAAAATTTGTGTGTGTGTATACATAATGTGTATACTTATTTTTACATTACATTTGGGTAAATATTATAAATATTTTAACAAAAATTAAAAAAAAAACAAAATAATGAGATTATTTGACAAAGATGCACAAATTTGCAATTATTAATACTTGGTTTTAATATTAAACATTTCCTTGGCCATCTTTTCTACTTCAATTAAATAAATGATTATTTATCTAATGAATAAATACTAGCAAGAATTTTATTTGTAATCAGTTAATAGAACAATTCATTAAAATTATATCTACTGAAAAGGATATATATAAATATATATGTGTGTGTGTGTGTGTGCACATGTATATGAGAGTGAGTAACATTTGCATTAATTCCTAAACACTAAAAATCAGGAAGAAAGGAATTTTCCAATTTAAAGATTGAGCGCCAAAATTTGCACAAACACATTTTTCGATAAAAAATAAAAACAAGGTTGGTTATAGCATCAATTTTCAGTTTTAAACAATGTTACTATAACTTTCATTTTTGTATAGACTGTGAACAGTCTTTTCCTTCTTATAAGCCCGACACTCATCAAGAATGGGCTATTGAAAATGTACCCTTTATATCCTCTTTAAAGTTAATATTTTGTATCATATTTCTAGAAAATACAGACAAGAATTAATCGATAAACTTAAATTCTTTCATATTTGCTATATGTACTATAGATTATCATTACCACAGCATTCCATGCAAATTATCTGTGTCACATTATATGCAATCATGAAATGAATGAAAGTTTTATAAATATTTGTTTAATAAATCCAACATATGATCTCACAGGTTGCATAAATAACTGGAGTGAAGACAGAAATAAACACCAAAACAGTCAAATAGCAAATGACAAAAAAATGGTTTCTGTGTTTGAGGATTCACTTATCCTTCTGGTTAATAAATTAATGCTTTGAAAGAAAAAAAAATTCAACATTTTTCAACCAACAGGTAACATCCCCACCAACAATAAAAAAAAAACATGCTTCATCATTCCTTTGAAGGGTATTTAAACAAAGTTTCTACACAAAAGGAAGAAGGAGAGATAAATGCCAACAAGTTCACAACACTCAGCTTAAAAGAAATTTCCTTACTCATTCACCTGTTTTCCTCACCAAGCTACATGACACTTACACTTTCCTCCTCACGTTTTCCCTTATCTCTTCTTTCTCACATAAACAAAGAAATCACATTTCTTTTCATCTTAAACAACTACAAATAAGGACTATAAGAACTTTAACACTCATACAAAGAAAAATTTAGTTGTAAAAAATATGAAAATAAAAATATCTTTTTTCTCCTTTTTTTGTTGTGGGTTGATTCAAATTGGCAACAGATTTTAATCAACCCACTACATCAAGTAACTTATCTATAATAGAATCTTTTTTCTTTCTCCATTTATCCTACTACTGAAAATATCTGTTATTTCTCAAATCATTTGTTAATGCAATGTACATCCTCTTAATAAAATATCAAAAACAATAAATTTAAATTTAATTCTGAAATTTAAAATCAATTTTAAAAATACAATTGAAAAACTGAGAACTAACCTGACATAAACTTTAAGTGTTGGATAAGAAGTAAGGAAAACATCTGGATTATTTGGCTTTGGGTTTTCTGATTTTGTCAAGAAAAAATGCATGGTGATATTTTGAGGATTTTCTTCTTTAGGACCAAATGTATTTGCAACTGGCACTGTCATTGCAATTTTGCTATCTGAAAAATAAGAGTTGTACCAAATTATCAAAGATTGATTTCTGGAATCTATTTACACTAACTTATACCCATGATATAATTTATAAAAATTTATTCACATAGCAAATTTATCAAGCAATAAGGTTAATTTAAAATGAGAAAAAAAAATCATCATAAGTCATGATCAGCAGTATGAATGCTGTTTTTCTGTGTATAAAAAAAGTAAAAACATTAAAAATTAAGCATTTAGCATAGAGAAAAAAAAGAAATAACAAAAGAAAAAAAAACAATGAAACTACTCAGTACTTAGAATCATGTTCAGAAAGTGGAATAAATAAATAAATAAATAAATATGATTAATAACTTAACCAGGGACTAATATACCAGCTTGGAATGAGAAATCATTGAACCAAGATCAAATTCCATCCAAATTCATTACATTCACTTTCATAAGTATCTAATTGGGAAAATTTATGTTATGCTTTGTGTGCACCTTTAAAACAAGATATTATCAATATTTTTAATAATAGATATTATAAACTGAAATTCATATGGTATATTTATCATGCACTGTTAGACTATCAAATATTATTAAAAAATGATGGGAGAAACCTATATATATATATATATATATATATATATATATATATATATATATATATATATATCAAGTATAGGATTGGTGTATGTGAATAAATTCCAATAACCAATAACTACTATTCTTAAAAGAGTGTCCAATACAGAGTAAAGCAAATATAATTATTTATTTGAAAATTATAACATAAATATCTTATAAAATCACTACAAAAATAGCCATTTTGTTTCAACACTTCTGGTGTTTTATCAAATGATGGTGTTGAATGTAGAATAAAGGGTTTTAAAAGGTCCAAATCAATCAAACATCCCTTGCTAGGGGAAACGCTGTTACATAAACTGCAATGACCAATCAAAATACAAGTGTATGAGAATTCAAAAACTTGACAATGAACTAAGGCTATAATAATTATTTAATGCTTTAATGTTGGGGTTAGATTAAAATAGAATTTATTCTAATAAATATTAAATTATATGATAAAATTTGAAATTAAAAATTACCCATTTTAAAAATTTAAATTTAATCTATATTAAGTTTAAAATTATAAAATTACTGAGGAAAAAAGAAAAAAAATACATATGTTATTCTATTTATTTTGTTTTTATTGAAATTAAGTTGGAATAAATGTGTTTCTGTCTGTAGTGAAGAATGTCTGTACACATGTCTATATGTATTTTTTATTTCCTTTCACCTACTGTTATATTTTTGTACTCGTGTATGTGCACTAATGTGTATATAGGTATATATGAAATATTTTTATATATATTTGTGTGTTTGGAGTTTTTGTTTTTTTATATATTAGATGGTGTTATTTTTATGCGTATATATCTATTTTTCTCTACATGTCTATATGTTTTAATGTCCTTTCTTTCCCTAATGTTTGTTTTTCTGTTCTACCCATGTTGAATTTTATCTATTCCACCATTTTTATCTATGCATATTTGCCCATATAAGTTATATTTTAATAAGTGGTTAGAATTCATTTAATAACAGTTTCAAACTTGAATATTTCTTGGTAGGTGTATCGGCGTGTCTTTGTCAATGTATGTGTGTGTATGTACGTGTCTTTGTCAGTGTTTGTGTGTATGGTAACTTGTGTGTACCTTTCATTGTGTATGTATGTTGTGTTTTTTTTTTTTAAAGGGTAGTGGAGATATTTCCTGTCTCATCGCTTTTTTGTGTGTGTATATATCTAAATACGTCTGCATGTTTATGTATTATAATCTGATTGTGTATGTATTGTCTTTTGCGAGATTTCATCCTCCCCTGCCTCTGTTTATGCTTCACATGTATCTATGTTGTCATGAAGTCCAGAGCAACATTTGATTTAACATTTATTCCAACTTAATTTCAATAAAAACAAAATAAATAGAATAACATATATATTTTTTTCTTTTTTCCTCAGTAATTTTATAATTTTAAACTTAATATAGATTAAATTTAAATTTTAAAATGGGTAATTTTTAATTTCAAATTTTATCATATAATTTAATATTTATTAGAATAAATTCTATTTTAGTCTAACCCCAACATTAAAGCATTAAATAATTATTATAGCCTTAGTTCATTGTCAAGTTTTTTGAATTCTCATACACTTGTATTTTGATTGGTCATTGCAGTTTATGTAACAGCGTTTCCCCTAGCAAGGGATGTTTGATTGAGTTGGACCTTTTAAAACCCTTTATACTACATTCAACACCATCACTTGATAAGAAACCAGAAGTGTTGAAACAAAATGGCTATTTTTGTAGTGATTTTATAACATATTTATGTTATAATTTTCAAATAAATAATTATATGCGTGTGTGTGATTTTATTTATTTTTTGGTCTCTGATTTGAAATCAGGAATCATTGAAATATCTTTTTTCAGGTTAGTTTTCTCTACTATGTACTATCTGATTAAATGCAAATCTGAATCACTTTCTAAAATTCTAAAAGAAAAAACAAAAAAGATTATTCTTTTTCAAAAGCTGATTAAACAAAGGATAGTGTACAATTACTAGCACAAATCCATAAGTAGATGTAGTATTATGGTTTGACCAAACATAACAATATGGCCAAATCTCTTATACTACAATGCATACATCTGTTATATTCATGTACTTTTTATGAAATATAAAAAATGAATAAAATAAAAGCCTGATTTCTTCATACTCATTTTCTACCTTTCTGTCCTAAACTTCAAAGAAGTTCTAATTCTATAAATTGTAGAGTTAAAAAAAAAAATTTTATGCACAAATTGGTAAAAATTAATAAAAAAGGGACGATTTCATACATTATATAATTGTTTAGCCAAAAGAACATGCATAAAATACTTATTTTGTGACCCATGAAAATATCAACATGCCACAACTTAAAAATATTTATTATTTAATTTGCTACAGAAGTAGGCTCATTTGTCTATTGAGATGATTCACAATTAAGATTTTTTGCTTCTATTTAAATCTGTATTGCAACAAAAAATTAAAAAGTGAAAACAGAAAAAGGAATTGACATTTACTGAATTCATTATCACCAGTAATGTATTTAAACAGACGCATGAATAATGTTCGTCCAAGAGTTCTCCTGCTCCCTTCACCTGTGGTAGCAACCCAGTGGGTTGGTTCATATTCTCTCAGCTCATAGGACTGAAATTAAAAAATAAAAATATTTGCACATTAAAGCCATATTTCATAAAAGCTTATCCTTTGCAGAAAATAATCAACATTTTATATTACAGAAGGAAAATACTAAATAGCCACATACATAAAAGCTGAATGAAACACTAACATTCTAAATTAGCTTTATTATATATATATATATATATATATATATATATATATATATATATATATATATATATTTCATTGTTTTAATTTTTTTTCTTAATACTTGCCTCAGCATGAATACACACACATGCGCACATCTACATAAAGTACTCACACATTAATTTATTGTTCTCAATATTACATTTTAATAGGAGTCTATCCTTGAGTGGTAAACTGAATGGGATTTTGGCTTTTACCATTTTCTAAGAAAGTAAATATTAGTCATGAACATTTACAACTGTAAAACGGGGTAAAAAAAAAAAAAAAAAAAAATTGTAAGGTCTGAATGGTGATCCCAGCATGACCCACCCTAAAACTATTCAGCCTCAGAGACTTAATCCACTTCCTCTACTAAAGTTGGTGCCACAAAATCATTCTTGCTTTAATATTTGTTCAAGAATGCACCAAAAGACTTTGCCAGTCTTAATGTACATTGGTATCATTGAAATGAAAACTTATTTTTTTCGTATTTTCCTTTTTTTTTTGTTTGCTGTCTTTCATTTCTTTCACTTTTCTATGCCACACTATTTCTGAATTTTTTCTTCATTGTTTTAATTTTCTCTTAATATTTGCCTCAGCATGTGTATGTGTTTGTGCGTGTGTGTGTATGTATATATATATATATATATATATATATATATATATATATATATATGCAGATATGGGTATGTCTGCATAAAGTACTTACACATTCATTTATTATTAATTCTCAATATTACATTTTAATGGGAGTCTATCCTTGAGTGGTATACTGAATGGGAATTTTGGCTTGATGTTTTCCCAAGAAAGCTGATATTGGGACTTAAAACTTAATAAACCTGCATTTTAATTTGCTTCATTCAATTGTGTGTCCGTATGTATATTATTTCAAGTTTGTGATTCGTTTCTGGCTGATTGGTTGTTTTTGGTATCTGGAAAAAAAAAAACAAACAAAAAAACAAAAGTAGGTAGATCACTAAGAAAATTTACCCTTCATCTCCTGTACCATCACCACCCATCCCAAGTAAGAGATAATCATATGCATTCAGCCATTGAAATCCAAAAATTTACTTCAAAGTCACCATAATTGTACCAAATCAATATTAAAATTAAGTCAGCCTGCTCTGTCCCTAAAAATGTCTAATTTAATTATTGGAAAGAAATAGTTGAAGTGTCTCTTGTAAGTGACTTACAATGCCTTGTGCCATCTTGCTGTTTGTAAATTTTTTAATTTAATTTCTTTTTTTTTTGTTTCTGATGTTTTTTTCCTTTCTTTTCTCCATTGCTACTAATTATTATACTTCTCACTTCAGCCCCTCTCCAATGTGTTTAGTGGACATTAAAACTAAGTCATAATTTAATACTTTCATATTTTATTTGCTTTGTTTTTTTTTAACAGGTTAACAGGAGTAGATAGGTTCACCTATCATCTGGCCTGAACTCCTTCCATGTCTGTTGAACAGAAACAGCGGTTCATCCCTTGTTTTCTGTTCAGGATATGGTTTACCGGTTCTCTTTCTTTCTTCTACCAGGGCACAAATGATTTAACTGTCTTAACTTTTTGGTGCTTGGACTAACCAGTTCCTGTGATTTTCCATTGCGAGGGTACTGGGTTGGCAGTTTGCTGGCTGCTGCTTCCAAGTGGTCATTGGGAGCCCAAACACTTTGGTAGTGCTTAAGAGAGGCTGCTCTGATCAACAGTTGCATAATATCAGGATACCTGGAGTGCCATACTACACATGGGTAGGTGTCCCTGCATGTATTTCTGGTGGAAACCCCGAGGACACATTATGGTCTAGCTAGTTTACATTATGATTGACGACAGATAGTGACAATTATGGTGTTTTTTTTTCTCTCTCTCTCTCCCTCTCTCTCTCCTCAAAACAAATCTCATGGAAATCACAAAAAGAAATACAAACCAATAAAAACCAAAAAAAAAAAAAAAAACCTACCCTCCTACCTTTCACTAATATTGGTGGTATCCATTCCAACTTTTGCAGCTTAGAATCGTTCCTCTTGGAATAGTCATCAGATATCTTTGCCCTCTGTGAAACTAACTTAAATTTTTCCATTGATACCAATGAATTCTTGTTTCCTATCTTCCCCTTTGCTGAAAAGATTCCTGCATTCACATGCATGGCCTTGGTGTTTACATTCAGGATAATCTTCCAATAGCCAGGGAATTGTCTCTCAAGGCCACAGACTACTCCTTTATGTACTTCAATTTTTCCTTACTAAACTCTGTTAGCTATCTCTTTTTCCTTTATCACACCCCATCTTCCCAAAACTGCAGTATATTAGACATAATAGCTGACAGTATAGAAATAGCACTTTTTCTCATTCCATCTGCAAACATATTTGTCTTTGGTGACTTTGTATAATTAACATTGTTGAATTTTTGGAAACATCTTATAAAAGAAGATGGACTGTTAGAAGACCCCTAAGAATTATAGAAGTTCAAAAAGAAAATAGTGTCAATTTTCATGGTGGACCAGCATACATGGAAAATTTGTCACTCCACAAAAACACACTGATTTGATCACTGACGTTTCTGGAGGTCAAAACCCAAGGAGTTATAAAAGGTACCAGTGTTTTCATATTTTTTCATTGCTTAGAGGTGGTGAGCTGAGAGTTAATAACTAAAGACCTCATAATACAAACTGTATATGAGGTTGAGCACGAAAACAGGGCAGCAGTATTCGAGGTCCCTCCTCAAGTATTGCCTACCTCAGTCAGTATAGTCAAATCCTATGTGTGACCTCTAGCAACCTGAGTGAGGTATGGAGCTTCAATGTTATGCTTGATTGTTTAGCCTTCATCTCTATTCCCAACTGTTTGGACTTTTGTGGCTGGAAAATGCTGGTTATCGTGACCAGCAGAAGACCAACTTGTTGGAAGTGTGGAGAGACTGGTCACCTTTCCTCTTCCTGTCTGGAGAAAGGCGACTTCTGGAATTCCAGCAGCAGTTAACCCAAATCCCCCTCTAGCCAATACTGATAGTTCTGCAGTGCCTGTAATGGTTCTACAAGTGACATGAACCAGTGCAGACAAACCCTTGGTTGGGTCCAACATTCCCTCCAAAACCGGCACAACTCGCAAGTGTGAGTAAGGAAAAGGAAGGGGAATGGCATATCGCTGATAGAGGAAGAACCAAGCAGCAGGGCCTCAGTCCCCCTGAAGCCTCCAGAGCAAAAAACACTTACAACCCTGTTCCCTCTACCAGCCCTGGCAACGTATGTTACTACTGCATCTGAAATACAGCAGAGAAATAAACCAAACTGGGAAAAAATTGAAAAGTTAAAAGATCTCAAAGCTAAGCAGGTTAAAAATCCAAAGCCAGTCAGGGTGCTGGGCCACTCATCCTCTGCTCCGTTTTCCTCTTCAACAAAAAAGATCAGGGTTACATCATTGATCCCTACCCCTTCCAAATGACTAGTTTCAAAAATAAACATACGCCATCTCCTTTTCCAGTCCTTTCCAAACAAACCACACCAGTTTCCACACACACTGCCACACCTTCACAGTCACCACAGAAACATGACTCATCTAAAAGGCAATGAAGCCTGGAAAGTTGAAAGAAAACCACCAAACTATAGCCTTGGGGAAGACGTTTGACATGTATCTGAGGAACAAGCAGAAAAAGAAAATTCAAAAGAAATAAAAGCCCTTAAATTCTTACTTAATATAAAAAGTGTGGAGGGGAAGGATGTCAAAAACCCAAGTCCTTCCTAAAGGCTAAACGAACCTTAATGGTAGTACAGTCAGGCTCAGGTGCACTGCAGATAAGGGGCATGATTGAGGAAGCCAACAATAACATCTCAACATGTCCCCTGCTGGCATACTTTGACAACAACAATGTAAAAAGATTACAATAGTATTATGCTGGGAGGCTCACAGTTTTTGTTTACCCTTCCCACTGTAAGGGCACTAAAACTAACATTTCCTTTGAACATCGGTCTCTTGATGGTATCATAAGGTATGAAATGGGTCAAGGATCAATGGGACAAGCTGTCTTTACTCCAGCCATGTTTAATGCAGAAGACCAACTCTATAATTCTGATAATGACTCACTGGTTGGCTAGCATGAATGCCCAGAGCCTGTAGTTGGAGTATATTGTGTACAAGAGACCCGTTTTTCAACTTGCGACAGTGAAAGCATTCTGTCTAGAAGGTTTGCCCTCTATTCAGCATGTTTTGATTGACGCTTGAGAGGAGTTTCTTGGCTGGTGGGCAAGTCTTTGGATGCAGCATGTGCTCTTGTCCTCACAGATCTGGCGGGCAGGCTTTGTGTGCTGGATGTTACTATAAATGATAAGGCTATTTGTCTCATTGGGGTTTATGCACCCAATGACCATGTTGAGCAGCTTGATTTGTTCTGGCAGATTGAGCCGTTTCTGAAGACATCATGTCAGGTAGTTTTAGTGGGAGATTGGAATGCTGTCCTAGACGCTGACATAGATCGTATAGGGGAAAGACTGAGTATTAACAACTGGGACATGAAACCATTTTGAGACTGTATAAACAAGTTTGATCTTGTTGATAAGTATCATAATGAGCACCCCCGGGAGGTAGTGTAGACTTGGATGAATAGGGGCAGCTTAGCTATGGTGGTGTGTTCCAGCTAACTTGACCAAGTCTTAGTTAAGAGAGTCAATATAGTGCTCTTAGAGGATTCAAGTTTTCATTCAATAGTTTACTCAGATCATAGGCTTGTCTGGGTTCATGTAAACTTAGATAAGCCTAAGGTTAAGACAGTTGGCTACTGGAAATTAAACGTATCATTATTTGGTGAGGAAGATTTCCAGGACCAGCTGCTACTAATGCTACTAATGCTACAGTGGGAATTGATGGGGACTGTGGTTGGGAATATGTGGTGGGATAAATTAAAATCCCAAATTAGGTCATTTGCTGCTGATTATAGTATTTGACTCAATATAGTTAGATTAGCAGTGCAAATGGTGTGTAAGGAAAAAGTTGATTGAGCGATTAAATCACATGATAGTGGGGATGTAGCCTTAGTTAGAGCAGAGTTGGCCTTCTTACCAAGAAGGATCAAGCTCTGGTAGTTAGGGCTAGGTTAAAAAGAATGTCTTGTGTGGAAAGGAGTTTCTCTTCCTGGGCCTTTCATCTGAATGGACTCAGCGTCTGGTTCAGTCCCAATCTCCTCTTGGAAATGAATTGGTTGGAAGTGTAGCAGAAGTCTGAAGTCACACACGCTTTGCATCACATTCCTTGATCAAATGTGTCAGCAATTAATTGGATGATGAGGATGAATTATGGAAGGAAGATGCCTGTAAGAACTTCCCATTTCTGAGAAGTGTACACCGTGTGAGGAGGAGACTCCCCCATTTCCCCCAAGGCAAGTGCTTCTTCTGTTGTGAATGTCAGATTGCTTTGAAACACCTCTTATGGGCAACAGATGACCTCTCCAACATCCAGATGTTGTCCCATAGGGCATTATATTATATTTTAGTTAAGGGGTTTGCTCAAGATGATCCGATAGACAAGCCCAGTCTTACGAAGCGGGAGGCCTGCTCAGTATGGCTTTGGGCGCCTGGGTTGAAATGCCTCAATAATGATGAGGCATCACTCACCTGGCTGGTAAATAAAAGTGCCCTCTGGCTCAGCAAAAGATTTTGTTTGGCTGGCTTGGGAAAATCTCCAAACTGCATTTGCTGTGATGGAGAGGTGGAAACCCTGGATCACACCTTTCATTGCAGAGTTGTAGTCCCATCAGGCAAGTTTATTGAAGATATCATAGTTCACATGCTATGTGGAAAGTTTTACATTCTCAAGGCCTGTTCTGTCTGTAGCAATGTGGTACTACAATTGTTGTCAAAGGCTGCGTTCTCTTGCTTGGTAGGCGTAATGAGTCATGATATGGAGGACACATCAGAATGAATTCTATGGAGGCAAAAAGTTCACCTCTTCCTAACTGATGTTGTTCTTTAAGCATCAGCTTAAAGTCAAGATCAGGATGGAAAGGTGACAGTTCCCTCCATCAGAATTTGGTAAAAGGTCAGTGAGTCTTGTGCATTTGTGTCAAGTAAGAGGGGCTGATTCAGAGTGGCACTTTGATGCCGGTTAGGCATTAGAATATTGCTCTAACTAGATTGGACATTGGCAACCCAGTCCAAAACTAGCTTAGTTTAGAGTTGTTTATTGTCTTTAGTTTCTTCTTTCAAAGTTGACTTAGCGAGGGGATGTATGCTCATTGACCTTCTCTTATTTCTGCCCCAACTTTCTTTAGTTTAATTCCCCCTCCCCCATTAGATGACAAGAAATTTCAGTTTTCTGGTGGATACGGGATGCCTTTCGTATTTCGGATATGATTTTTGTATTTTTTGCTGTGTTTGAATGAGTGTGTGTTTGAGTGAGTGGTTGGACAAATGAGTTTTTATTAAAGTCCCACATTAATTTTATCCAGTTAACTGATGTTTTGTCACAATTAAGGATTGTGTGTGTGTGTGTGGAGGGGGGTATTACTAATACTGTTTTTAGTTTCTTTTTAAATAGCTTATTTCATATTGTAAAAAATCTTTGAAGGTTTAGTTTTTTAAATTGTTTTACCCCCCCCCCCCGAAACACACACACATCACAGACAAGAATTGTATATACGGGAACTAGGTAGGAATCCATGGAGATTCTGAGGTATTATGGTGGATGTAATAAGAATGGTATGTAAGAATGTGTTTTGGTGTAAGGAATATTGTACTATGTTTGCAGCTATCTAAGTTTAATTATAAGACCAAAGAAGACCATACTTTTCCCTTTTTGGCCTTGTGCCACATTTTTGTAAATTTTACAAAATAAATATTACTCTTTGCTATAGTACCTAGAGTTTTTGAATTTATGCGCAGTACTAGACTAGTGTCGAGATTTCAATTTACATTTGAGCTGGCTTGATGTAGCTGTAAATACTATGCTAACAGTTTCTTCTCTCACACTTCTCACTTGTGGAACTCACTTCCGGCTCCATGCTTCCCAGCCAACTTTAATCTGCAAAAATTTAAATGCAATGCCAAGTGCTATCTACCATCCTCTTGATTACTCTCTTCTTTTTCTGCTCATCATTGTTTCTAATTCTGCCACACCCTGTAATACCTTGTGTTTTAGTGTCATTACTGCCTTGCATAAAAATTAATAAAAATATACATTTTAATATTTTTGAACATTTTAAAACAGGAAATAATCAACCAGATCAAAAATAAATTTAATGCAGAAAACTAGATTAAAATTTTTGGTAAATGTTTTCTTTACAAGAGAACAAAACAAAAGATGCATTTAGCTATCAAAACATATTGTATTTGATGGCACATAAGGTCAACAACTCCCTCACCAAATAAATTTCATAAATTTGTAATGAAATACATGAAAAGAAATTTGTTTTGAAGTGGGCCCAATAAGAAATATGGATGTAGTTCTGGTAACATTTGATGTACTTACCAACATTCTTTTTCTTAATATTCCCTTTTGAAATAGGAGTAATGATATTATATGCCATCTTCACTTTGAAACTTTGATAAAAATGTTAAATACTCATATTTGCCAGAAGAAAAAAGTTCAACTATCTTTACCTCAGTTTTCTTAATGACCTTGTATTTTGGGCTGCTGTAGCCATTTATAGTACCTGAGCCTTCCTCTTCACTTGTCATAATTTTGGTTAGGGAATTCTTAAAAAATGATTCTGCAAAAGTGACCAGCAGCAACAAAATGAAAATTCTGCAAATACAGCAAGAAAAGAAAAGGCAAAGAATAGAAAACTGATATTTGGCTATATTTTAGTCCAAAATTTAAATGCAATGTCACTTGTTATTCTCTGTATTCTTAACTCTTGTTCTTTTATTGTTCTCACCTTAATAATGTTTTCTTTCTCTCATATTCTTTCACACTCAGTAACACCCTTGTGTCTTAGTGGCTTTATTGCCTTGCTAGGGAGTGAAATGATAAAAAAATGCATTTCCTAATGTAAAACAAAGTAAACAGATATTAATGAGAAAAAAGGCAAGGGACAATGACAAAACTAAAAGTTAAAAAACTGAATCAAACAAAAGAATTTTCTTTTCCATTTCATACATTTCGTTCACTTCAAGGCTGAAACATCTTTCATTATTGTCAACTCATTATTTATATGGTGATTAATAAGTTTCTTTTCAATAAATATATTTGTTCATAAAATAACACTGCTGAATTATTTTTAAATTATTATTAAGAGAAATGTTCATAAGACAGGTATTTGACTAGAACAAAATAATGAAAGCTAAAACTAAAAGTAACGTCTGCTAATAATACCTCATAAATAATGGACTACTCTGTTTTGATCATGTGGAAAGAGTGGAAATGAAACCATTAAACAATTTTTGCATGTGCTTTTTCGTTGTTAATTTTCTATATCACCAATGAAATTTATTTAACACTTAAAAGATTTTGTAAATTTGGGAAAACTAGAAGAAAAAAATCAAATTAATAACATTATAAAAATATAGTCTTTAATATTAATGTATCAATGTGATCATTTTTTTTTATTCAGCACATGCCTCAAATTAAATCTTGAAACTTTTCACAGTAAAATTTATTTTCTATGTTTTAATAACATTAAGAGTAAACAAGGAAAGACAAATTTTAATAAAAAAAGTTTAAAAAGAAAATAAAACCCAGTTTTTGATTGTTTACAATCTCTTTCAAATCAAATAAATAACACTAGTCTCATGACTCATTATTTAAAAATTAGTTTAATTCATTTTCATTTATAGCATAGGAATAAGGCAGAATTTTACTTTTTAGTTTTAAATTTAAAAAAATGATAAAATTGTAAAAAAAATGTTTAGATGTTAAATGTTTGTTAAAGTTTTTTTTAAGTACACTGCAAAATGAACAAGTATATTAACTGAACTTCTTATATAAGATAAGTTATGTAAGATGTTAAGTTATATAAGATAAGTTATATAAGTCACGTTTTCCTGCAACATAAAATTAAAAATAAAAAATTCTGAAGAAACGATCTTATTGTAACTTAAAAAGAAAAGATAACAAAAAAGTTCTATTCAAAAACAAATTTACCATGAACTGGGCTTATGTGAAAAAAATGTTCTTATTGTAAAAGAATAAGTTTCCTGGGAGATGTGCTTATGTAACCTAAAAAAAATTCTCACAATATTCTCTGACATATATTAATTTATAAATAGATACATATACTTCTTGTGTTGATAGTTACTCATCCTTATTTAGTATAACAAAAATGTAACAAGGTCTTTTTATTTTTATTGTTAAGTCATGTACAATTTGAGGCTGCATGGTTGGTTACATTCAGAAATTACCCAGTTTCATTGATTACTGTTACAAACATCAAGATGTGCTCTTGATTCTGTACTTCTTGTAACAATGTAGTGCTACTGCTTAGGGAGACTAAGAAAATTATTCAATACAGCATGGGTTAGGGATTTTTTACAATTAACAATTTTTCTGAAATGAAAACTACCAGGAAAAATTACAAGTAATAATTTTCAGCTAAAAAGATTCTTGACTATAAAAGAATATTATTACATAAATATTATTATTTAACACTGTTGGTTCATTCTTTATTGATATTTAAGGTTTTTAAGAGGTCAGAGATTTATTAAGAAAATAGCAGTTTATAATCCATCAGATCATGAATAGGATCTATCACATTAAAACTTTCATTCACTGATTACATATTTAGTGACATTTCTGGTTGTTGGGAAATCTACAATAATCAGGATTGTATTTTTAGTGTTCAATTTAATAATTTTATCTCTGCCCACTGACTTTACTACTACTCTAATTTCCCTCATTTATCTTTAGTGATTTTTTTTTGCACTGACAAACTAAATGTTTTGTTAAAAAAATCAAATTTGATGATTAAGAACTGAATTTTGCAATGTCTTACCTAAAATTTGTTTTAGCAAGTTTTGGCACTAAATCTTTATTTTACATATTGAAATTTAAGAAAAGAAATTATTTTCAAAAGTCAAGAATTAGATATATTCGCTCCAGTATCCCTGACTGATCCAAGGAAAAAGCCAAGATTTTGTCACAAAGTAAGCAGGCTTTCTCCACTTCTCCATATTAGCACAGCACAATGTTTACTTTTTGTTTACAACATAATGAACATAATGTTTATTTACACATGGTAGCCATGTATGTCATAGAGCAACCACAGTACTTTTGTGCTCTAATTCCTAACTTCAAAATTGCAAAAAATCTTTAAAAAAAAAATAAAGAAATGCAGAACACCAGTAGCACAATAATTAAAAAATTATTGAATCATCATATATGATATTACTCTTTTGATTGGGAAGAGTAGTCAGTCAAAGGTGGTAATTCAGAATTATTTCCTTTTTAAACTACCATACAAAAAATAATCTAACAGTTGCTAAAGTGGAAAAAAAATTAAAATTATGGCATTAAACATTACATTTTTCAATACTTCAAACATGTTTTTATTAAAAAAAAACAAAAAAAAAATTCTTGTTATGAACAGCAATATGATTATGACATCTACCCCAGCTGTACCACATTGAAGCTTGATCCTCTCAGCTGATCATAGAGTTGATCGCTTTGGCCCAAGTCTTGTCTCACCGTACGTTGTGTTAATTGATTACAACACTAGCTTGGTCCAAATGGTCGACTGGAATCAATGACTTGGTTTGGTTTGGTCTGGTCAGAGTAAAGTCACACAAAAGAACAAAAAAAAAAAAAATTGGATAAAAGAAAAAAATATTTATATACAACTCCATGATACAAAGTTGATAGTACAGTTATTGATGGCTTAAGCAGGCCTATGTTCTCTATGCAATAACTATCGACCCTTCCCAATTATTATGACACACTGTTGTTATGGTTTTGAACAAGACTTCTAGAACAAGGCTTTAAGTCGGAGGTTTTTTTCTTCAAGACGGCAAATTACATAAGATCAAGCAAAGGGGTGGTTCTTGTCTCTCAGTTCAGTCTCGCCTCTTCAGTCTGTCTGTGCTGTGTCTCTGCTGTAGTATCCACCCCCAGACAAGAATCTGCCCTTCGGCATAGCCTCGTCTGGGTTTCTTTCTGCCCAAAAGCAGAGAGTTTGATGTCTTGAGTATCTGCTCCACTGTGTCTCTGCACAGTGTGTGTCTTCATCTACTTGGCGTTCTGTTTTTATGGACCAATGTGTAAGGGGTGAGGTGGGGCATAATGTGCCCTGGGTATACCAGCATTCTCCAAGCAACCAATCAGGGCTCTTCCTGCAAATGTCCAAATATGGGGGAGCCCCTCCTCCCTCCTTGGAATTCTACCTGGGCCTTCTCCTCCTTGCATTATGTGAGTGCCTCTCACCATCACTTCCCAAGAGGTGGAAAAAGTCCTCCACCTTCCCTGAAATTCTACCTGGGCCTTTTCCTCTTTGATTACTTGATCAAACCTGTCCCCAAAGGGCTAGGCATGGTTTAGCCCAAACGGACAAATTTTAATTATCATTTAAAATTCTTTCTTATCATGCTTTTGTGTGTGGTTGTTTTTTATCTGGGATTTCTCATTTTTTTTTATCCCCTCATCAACTCTTTGGTCAACAAGCAACTAAAAGAGAACAATCCCTTGATTTGGGAAGCTTTATTGCATTTCAGCAAACAAAAAAAATTAATTATCATTCTTTACATATGTTCTTTTGGGAACCTGTCTGCTTTTGAAAGTTAATTCTTATCAAGCGACCGAACTCACAGCTAAAGGTTTGCCTTACTCTCCATTACTCAATGGTCATAAAAATATTATCTATTTCTTTCCGGGATGTTCTTGGACCTCTCAGTTCTAACTGAAAGTAGATGGTCTCTTTGGGTGTGAGAAATTTAATTACCTTCTTCTAATTTTTTTTTTTCCAATAAAAAACAAAAACAAATATCTTTTTCTTTCATTTTTACCTAGTCTGGTCACTAGTATATCTTTAGTCTATTGGAAGTAAGTGTTTTTCTGTCTTCTAGTTTCTTTTCAATTTACTAGCACCTTTCTAATAGTATCATATGATAAATTTCAAACCTACACTGAAAAATTACAGATAAGTGAATTATAATTTTTAATCTTTTTTGGAATCTTCAAAATTTTGGTTAAAAATGTGTTCTTGCATCAGTGGGTGATCATAAATTAGTAACAAATTTGAGTGTCTTTTAGCAGTGAAAAACATTCATTTGGAAATTCTTTCAAAAAAAATCAAAAAATTGTCAGATTTTAATGAAATTCTCAGGACGCATTCATAAATGAATGAAATTGATTTTTTAACTTTCTTTTTAGAAAATCTTTGGAAAATAAATTTTTTTACATCTGTTTAACCTCACTTATTTTCATTTGTTTTAAATCTTTTTAAAATTCTGTATTAATATGTACCTATTAGGTGATACGTTATTAAGTAAGAACTATATTTACTAATCATAAATAAGAAAGCTTACTACAATTCATAGACCCCCACCCAATATTTTTAAAAAGAATTTTGAATTTGTGTGTGTGTGTATATAAATTGCTGATTTTTGTAAATACGGATGTACACCATTTTATTTTCTAAGGAGTTCTGCCTTTTAAACTAATAAAAAAAAAAACTAAACATTTATTTAAGCTCTACAATACTTGCATACATGCCGATTATCGTACATAATTAGGTTACAGTATAAAATTTGTATTTTATATGAATACTTTCTTAGGAAAATTGAGATGCCTCATATTATAGATTCAGGGGAAGAGGC